GAAGGGTACACAATTCAGCTATAATAATATTATATAACATTTGCTTAATAATGTGTGTATGTGTGTGTATAGTTCTGTGTATTTATTTGGGAAATGTTACATAGCCTTTTTTTAATTTGAAATGTAATTGACTTTCAATATTTTATTAGTTTCAGATGTACAGCATAGTGATTCAATATTTTTATAGGTTATAATCCATTTACAGTTACAAAATATGGGCTGTATTCTCTGTATTGTAATATATCTTTGTAGCTTTTTAATTTCATTTTATACATAGAAGTTTGTACCTCTTAATCTTCTACCCCTATCTTGCCCCTCTCCTGCTTTGCCTCCCCACTGCTCACCACTAGTTTGTTCTCTATATCTAAGTCTGTGGGGTTTTTGTTGTTGTTGTTGTTGTTGTTTTATATATATATATATATATTCATTTGTTTTATTGGCAGAAGACTTAAAGAGACATTCTTCCAAAGAAGACATGCAGATGGCCAACAGGCACACGAAAAGATACACAACATCCTTAATCATCAGAGAAATGCAAATCAAAACCACAGTGAGATATCACCCCACATCTGTCAGGATGGCAATCATCAAAAAGACCACAAATAAATCTGACGAGGAGGTGGAGAAAAGGGAACCTTTGTACACTGTTGGCAGGAATATAAATTGGTGAAGCCACTATGGAAAACAGTAATGGAATTTCCTCAAAAGACTAAGAACAGAACTCCCATATGATCTAGCAATTCCACTCCTGAGTATAACGCAAAAAAAAATGAAAACACTAATTTAAAAATATACATGCACTACATGCACCCAACTGTTCATAGCAGTAGTATTTTCAATAGCCAAGATACGGAAACAACATGTGTCCATCAATAGACGAATGGATGAAGAAGATATGGTATATTTGTATATATACATATACATACGGCACAGCCATAAAAAAGAATGGAATTTCTCCACTTGCAACAACATAGATAGACCTGGAGGGTATTAGGTTTAGTGAAATAAGTCAGACAGAGAAAGAAAAACACTGTATGTTACCCCTTATATGTGGAACCTAAAAATGAAATAAATGAATTCAACAAAAC